TACAGTTTTAGTATTTAGACAGAAACCTATCAAATTTTTTATAGCTAGTGTTGTCTGGGTTTCTATGTCATACAAGCAAATCAGTAGCTAGTGTTCTCTGGGTTTCTATGTCACACAAGCGAGAAGTGAACTTTAACGCTTACAGGAGTAGCTGCAAACGCGTGCGGCACCTGAGGCGGAGGAGCTGACATCTGCACAGGCACACCCGTCTTCTGCCCAAGAGCTTGCATGATTTGCATCATTTCTGCAATCCTGACCTCCTGGGCCTCCCGAGCGGCCTGCTCAGCCTCCAGCCGAGCAGTGAGGGCCGTGATCTGCGCCGTCTTCTCGTTGTTCTGGGCCTGCAATATTGCACTCCAATATTTCAGTAATGCAAATCTAACTCAAGTGTGAGAATATTAATTTACGACGAGTAAAACAAGAATTACCTCGAGCGCATCGACCCGCTGCAGTGTCGGAGTAGGCCGTGAGCGTATGGGCTGGCTAGAACTCGTGCTCTGTGCTCGGAGCTGGCTCAGAGTGGGAACAGTGGTGGGGTCGATGGCGGCGTTCGCAATCCACGTCCGGCCGTGCTTCCTGCCGCCACCGAGCCTCATGATGGCCTCGGCATCAATGGGCTCGGTGCGGACGTCGTACTCTGGCCCGTGCCGCTGCTGTACCGCCGACGTGTACTCCTGGACTTTAGTGTACACGTTAGGGTCGGAGTATGCCTCGCGAGGGGCAGCCGGGTCCCAGGTGACGTCGCCGCCACCACCGGTGCAGTGGGACATAGCCCACGCCGTGAACATCGAGATATCCTCGTCCGGGTGCGCGCACCTCCTGCGAGAAAGGCGGCAGGTGGTGAGCAATCAGGCATACGTTAAGCGTGAAACTAAATAGAAGAAAAATCACTTACATATGCCGATTTGAATCCGGGGAGACTCCTGCTGCCTTGATGGTGAGTGGCAGCTGGCCTGAGCATACGCAGTGCCCGCTGAGACTCGTGCTTCTCTATGTAGGCCGGCGTGAACCACCTAGCCACGATCATTGTCCAGGCGTCGGCATGCGCTCGGCACCACCAGGGAATCACCTACAAGTCAACGAGTGTTTGACATATATGAAGATGAAATTGAACATATTTAATTCAAAAACAAAACAATATCAATGTTATTCATGTACCTCAAGGTACTGCTCCTGGGTCAGCGTCATCTGTCGAGCCTCCCTCTTGGTGATTTGTCATTCTCACGAGCCGACGCCAGTAGTAGTCTATGTGGGCTGGGCGCTACTCGTGAAACATGTCGGTGACATACTTCCCTACAGTTTGCATCGCCACACGATCAGCGAGGCCCTCGGTTCCTTCTTCGGCCCTGAAAAACCTCTGCATAAAAGATGATATATCCAATCGTTATTTGAAAAAAATAGAATTCAATGTGAAGGATTGATTAATGTTGTGCGAGAGGAACTTACCCAAAACTCAGCAAGTATCCGCTCCTGCTTGTTGCGGTACTGGTCGTCCTCGCCCAGGGCGTACCTGTCCCACGTGTAGGCTGGCTCTCGGGCCTCCGACGGCAACTCCACAATGCCGGGGAACCACTTCCGGCACAACACACCCAAGACGGACGCGGGAGAGCGCAGAGGAGTACCTGACAACACCTCCCAAGCCCTGCACAAGTAAGAAGAAAATTTATCAGTTTCTCTTTCGATTTCAAACATATCATATGAAGTAGTTGTGATATCATTTATATTTACTTACTTGGGCGGCATAGGGCGAAGCACTAGACGGTTCTGAGGAAGCGGAAACGAAGGGAGCGTCGCCGGGCCTCGCTGGTAGACACCCGACGCCTCGCCTCCCTTGTCCTCGGGCGCCGCACCCTGCTCCTCCTCGACCTCCTCCTCCTCCTCGTGCTCCTCCGTCGGTGGCACGGGCTCAGGGGGCTGAGTCCGCTGCCTCCTACCACTGCCTCCTGTCGTCTGCCTCCCCCTCCTCCCGCGGCCTCCTGCCGTTGTCCTCGTCCTCCTCCCGCCGCCTCCTGCAAGAATCGTCCCTCGCCTTTGCCTCCCCCTCCTCCGTGCCTCCTCGCAGAAGCCCGAGGGTGTGTCACGTCGTGGCGGGCTGCTCGCATTTGATCAATCACCGCACGCATACGAAGAATGAACAAGACTTGTTAGTACACATATTAGAGACTGAAAATAAATAAACAAAATATAAATGAAAATAAATAAACAAGACATAGTATTACATGTATTACGAATAATCTTCATGATTGGGATTATAGGTCTCGTCATCACACCAACATTATCCAAATAGGCAACACTATCCGAAGGTTCTATGTTATCGCCCTCGTCACTTGCTACAAGTAATCGCTCAAGCATTTGTATGTCCTTGGCATTTTGCACCACATCTCCATCGTCCTCGTCATCAATCTGCTTTAGTTGTCTACTTCCATTTCGAGGGCCTCGGGTAGGACTATCTGAAGCGTCCCCGTAGCCCATCTTCCCGATAGAACTCTCCATCATATGTGTTTGTGTTAAAGTTGTAATCGTCATCGTTAGGGGTTGGTAGTTTGCCGTGTGGAGAAACCTGGTGCACAATAGCCCAACCCTGAAGCTCCTGTTTGGCTTGGTTGGCATATCTCGTGTAATACACCTGCACGGCCTGTTGAGCCATGCTCCGCTCCTATCCGAGACAGAATTTCGGCAGCACCTCTCCGATGTTCTCCCAATACACGTCCTGCAAAGAAGTTTGTGTATTCGGAGAACAATGGGGAGGTGCTGCCGAAATTCTGGCTCGGATCGGAGCGGAGCATGGAAACTGACCTCATCTACGCATACGCGGGCTGTCCAAAAAACGTGGACAATCTGAACAGATATGGTCGATACACACAAGGATCTCGCATGCCTCAACCGTATCTCTTCTTCGGACGGGAGACGCCCTAACTGGTTTACGCAGCTCGACAAAGATACAGAGTAGAGGTTGTTTATACCTAAGGTGGCGGTGGAGACAGGTAGCGGGCGCGTGGCGAGTCAGGCGGTGGAGAGAGTCGCAGCGCCGACGAGGATGATCGACTACTCAAGCTCCTTTGACGCCCTCTCGCTCTGCAAAAAAAAAAGGGTATAAGTTAAAAATTTGGCGAACCTCCCTCATGCACGGGAGGTTTCCAAAACTCGCAAAAAAATCGGCTCGATGGCCAACACCACATTCACGGCACAAAGGCCGACACATCAACAATGGGAGGCACGAAGGCCATCCACATCAAAAAAAGCAGTAGCGCGATGGCCGACAACCCATGGTTTTACCTTCTACTCGACCGAGGGACGGGAAGTGAAGGTGACGGCAAGTCGCCCGAACGAGGCCGTTATCCGTAACCACCGCATTGCATGCCCAAGTAATTGCTTCAAAACATGACCCGCTTAGACAGTGAATAAAACAAGTGCAACTACAGAAAAGTACTGAACCAGTAAATCCTAAATTTTCCGGGCTGTAAGTAAGCACATTACACTTTTCTCTTCCTATAGGAGTTAATTCCATTCATACTTAATAGCGAGCATAAATGTTGTTATTCAGATTTTGCTAAGCTTTGTAGTAGAATCATTTCAAACGTCCCTTTACGGATCAGTTATGCAGAAATAATCATCAGTTCACTAGCAACAAAGACTAATCCATGCAAAAGCAATACAATGATGCGCAATAACAACATTTCAAGGTTTCAGGTCAAGATTGCGAAATCAAGGTGACTTTGTAAAGAAGAGACTGGGGAGGGAGCAGAGGCACCGAACCTTCCGGGCGACGACGGCGGAGGACGCGGCCGGGGCGGCGGCGGGCCGTGGGCAGGCGACGGGGCGAGACGACAGGAGAGGAGGAAACGGGGGGCGACGGGGGAGGGGCGGCGGCGGCCTGCGCGGCGCAGCCGGCAGCGGCGGCGGCCAGCGGCGGTGGCGTGCGCGGCGGCGGCGGCGGCGGCGGGCGAGTGGCGGCTCGGGCGGGCGCGGCTTGGGATAAGGCCGCCCGCCCGGCCGTTCCCTTTTTTATATGGGGTCCCCTCTTTGCCGAGGGCCTAGATCCAGAGCCCTCGGCAAAGATTTTTTTTATTTTTTTTATTTAATTTCTTTGCCGAGGGCCAACATCCAAGGCCCTCGGCAAAGATGTTTTCTTTTTATTTCCTCCGGCGCCATCCCGTTCAAAATATTTGCCGAGGGCCTGTACAACGGGCCCTCGGCAAAGAGTTTTATTTTTTTATTTCCAAATTCTTTGCCGAGGGCCTAACGCCGAGCCCTCGGCAAAGGCTGACGGCCGGTGCCGCCGTCACGCTTGGCCGAGGTCGCCGAGAGGCGGTACTGTGCCGAGGGCCCGGCCCTCGGCAAAGGTGGGCCTTTGCCGTGGGCCGTTGATTGCCGAGGGTCCGGCCCTCGGCGAACGAGCCGTTGCCGAGGGCTAAGCTTCGCCGAGGGCGGCCCTCGGCAAAGAAAGGATTTGCCGAGTGCCCGAAATCAGGCCCTCGGCAAAGTCTTTTGCTCTCGGCAATGTTGCTGTTTCCAGTAGTGCATGAAATGAAATTTATGATGATAAAACCTGTCTCCACATAGACTGACCTAAACACCTTAGATACTGTAGCACTAACAGCAACACACAAAAAAGCTCGGATAGTGACGGCGGTTTATTCAATCGCTGTGGTCGACTACAACTTCACACCAAGCAAGCTAGGTCAAGTTATATATATCTAGGTCAGCGCCTGGTCTTTTATTTCGAGCTATATATATCTAGGTCAAGTTTTGCACTGAGCTAGCAGCAGCTGACTATATATATATATATATATATATATATATATATATATATATATATATATATATATATATATATATATATATGATAACATTGCATCTGCCGTGTTAATTAATCTCGATCGATTAGTGTTCGCCAGCCGCGACTGGAGCAGCTTGGCTGAAGCAATGCTTGAAGGACACCCAAGGCAGCTGTCACCGCACCCAAGACGGCGACGAGAAGGACGATGCGCCACGGTGCCCTAGTACCGCCGACCTGGCTGCCGCCGGTGTATGGCGTGGTGCCGTTGATGTACGGCAGGTTTCCCCGTCCCCGGTGGCTGCGAGTTAGGGCTGGTGGAGAGCTTGGCACTGCTGCATGCAGTCACAAAAATCGCAAAAACAGAGGTTAATTCATTAGCATTAATTTGATTAGATATACATACAAAAAGAGAAAAATGGCTGGTGTTTTTGCCCCCTGTTTTCAAAGTTCAATTTTATTTGTTTTAAAAAAATTGTCCCTGACTTTTACAATTCATTTATTCCAACTCGAACTAATATAGCAAAGCTCAAGATATGGGCAAGACGTTTGTTTGGATTCATCACCATCAGACGTTCTTCACCATGATCACCGTACCAGGTGACTTTTGTTTCAAGTCGGTGGGCTTGCCGCCCAAATATATGTGTTCAAAGTCACGCGCGAGGGATGTACCTGGGCGTGCTCGGGCAGAAGACGATGGTGTAGGCGCAGGTGCCGCCGCCGCCGCTGCCGCACGTGAAGATGGAGTCGGCGCCGTCGTACGCGTAGCTGTACGACCGCGGGCACGCCTTCTTGAAGAACTGCGAGTACGACGACGGCTTGCACTTGTCGGGGTTCCCGTATTCGCCGGTGCAGCAGTACTGGGGCGACCCGAACGCCTGGCACGCGCTCTTGCACGCCACGGCGCTGGTGCCCGACGTGACGCGCAGCCCGGCCGGGCACGCGGCGTTCAGGTCCACCTCGCACTCCGCCAGCGCGCAGTTGCCGCCAGGGCTCGCGCCCTGCTGCGGCGCCACCAGCACCGGGAGGTTGAAACCGTCGACAAGGCTGACGCCGTACGAGTCCGTCCCACCGCTTCCGTCGAGCGTGAACTGCGCGAGTGTGGCCGGCGGAGCCGGCCTGCCGCCAGCGCAGTCCTGCTTGCCCGAGCCACAGTCGCCGGTGACGCAGGTGAACTTGCCCGTGCCAGCGTTGGTGGAGCAGAGGGTACGGCCCCAGACGCGGCCCGACCACCCCGACGCCACGGTCATGGCGGCTGGCGCGCGACTGCCCCGGCGCGAGCTCAAACCCCATGCTGTCCAGCGCAGCCGCCGTCGAAACCGCACCGGAGAGGATCCCTGGCCACACCGTGTAGCTGCAGTTGTTGGTGATGGTGAAGGACTTGGAACCAGCAGCACCTGCTGATGGATGAAAACCAAACACGACAATATATATATTAGCTATGCCTCTCTGCACGCCAACGCTAAAGGGTATATGCATCATGTTCATGGACATGCATGGTGTTAAATTAAAGTTTAGGTCATAAGTCTATACTGACCCCGGTGACAAATTTACGCTAGATTCGCCACCGGAAACCCAAAAGGCGACGACGACCACGAGTACAGGAGCAAAAGATTGGCGTGACGATGCCATTATCCTCTGAGACGGGCGATGGGCGTTTCTGGCTGGTGTGGTGACCAGTAAGCTTGGGAAGGGAAGGGAGCGAGGTGGACCTAGTATTTATATATGCATGGATGGCACGCCTATGGTCCGTTCGCTTCGCTGAAAAAATAAATTAAAACACTATTCCGACTGATTTGTTGTGAAAGAAAAATACTATTCCGGTTGAAAAAATAAACTGAAAAGTACGGATTATAATACAAGCGAACATGGCGATGGCTGCGTTAGGAACGTGCATCGGCCGCATCTGGAACTGGAGGATGTTTTTCATCACACCCCCGCAGGCACGGCGCCACAACGGCACAACCCATATAGACTTTATTTTGCTAAGCATTATAAACAGACGGTCATTTGCTGTTTAGCTACTTAAGCGACATACCGTAAACAGTCAAGTCACTTGTTATTTACTCTCTCCATTCTAAATTATAAATCATTAATTCTAATTTTTTTGGAGAGTCAAAACATCTCAAATTTCACTAGAGTTATAGAGAGAATTATAAAGATTTATGACATCAAATAGATATAGTATAAAAATATAATTAATAAAGAATCTAACAATACTTATCTGATATCATAAACTCTCTAATAAAGTTAGAATGATTTATAATTTGGAATGGAGGGAGTAGCTAGTATTCGGATTTAGCAAATACTTAAACGTATAAAATGGACATTTAAACAGGATAAACAGCATATTAAATGAAAACGACATGCTACCATGCAGCGTTCAAATGGTGTGTATTTTTTTGAAGAGCCAGCGACACCGAGTATGCCGTGGCCCTATTTGTTTCGTTGAAATTTTGCTTATGCTGCTGCTTATGCTGATTTATTGTGAGAGAAAAGCACTGTCGTTCGCTGAAAAATACTGCTGAAGTAGTGCTACAGAACAGGATGAACTACAATATATATATATATATATAACAACAACCTCACGAAGGAGGCAACAACAAACACATTGCAGCCAGAGAGACAAAGCCCACGATCCTCGAAAGCAATGGCTATCGAGCGACACTCTGCACGACATAAAGCACAGGTGACGTAAACTAGTAGCTAGGGTAAGAGGGTTTTACCTCATCCACGTCTTCTTTCACAAACAAACAACAAAATCTAAAGGATATGGGTGACACAAAATAGAGTGAAAAAGAGAAGATAGAGAGAAGAGAGGAACCTTAGAAAGCCGCAGAAGAAAGTTGCCCACGCGAGAGAGAAGAAAATGAGCAGGGTCGTGAACTCTATAAGGCTCCGTTTGGATGTCTGCATTGAATTGTGTATATGGAATTCGAGGGCCAATACCAAAGCTAGCTGAATTGGAAATGATGTGTAATTCCAATATGGATGTTTGGATGGCACTTGAAATTGCTTGCTAGAATCTAAACAGCCTTCAAATTCCAATTCCTGTTTGGATGCATACTTTTGATGAATTCGTGTTTTTCTGAGTTTGAACATGAGAATATGTGCGTCATATAGGTTGCTTATACTTTCATGAATATTTATTTTAATTGGTTAATACAAAATATGAAATTAACAATAATATAATTCTAAATAATTTAATGTCAATTAAAAAATGAAAATAATTTGGCACGTACATTACCAGGATCAATGGCTTAACATGTGCATAGGCATGCTGCAACGGCACACAAATTTTAGAACCAAATATTTGCTTCAGCAGTACAACTAAAAAGTTCATTGTGCCACTGCTCATATAGGATACAGCCCATAAATTCTAATACAAAAGACAATGTTTTGGCTAAAATACAAGTTCAAATCATCACTACAGGTGCATAATGTAACACAAAATGAGCAGGGAAGCATTACCACCTACAAACATTACATTAGATGGGACAAGTTCACAACTGTTCAGTGTCTTCCCATTCTAACTCCTTCGTTCTTAATCTCCATCAGCAACCAATCCTTTCTCATGTCCATGGGAAGCTCCAAAAGTGCTTTGAAAATTCGATCATCAAGATTCATCATACCATATGCTCGCAGATAATCATCACGTCCCAAATCTGGTATTTTGTCATGTGCCTCAAGGATCTCACGTGGAGAAGTAGCCTTTGGTAGTTGCACAGGTTCAGTTGACTTCATAGCAGAATCAAATGATGCTTTAATGTCTCCAAGCAAAGACACAAGGGTTTCACCTGTTCTAGGTCTCTTTCCCAATTGAGATGGCACTGTCGGAGATTCTGGAGAGCCCTCATTGGAGTTCTGGTCAGTGCCATTTGCCATCTCCTGAGCACTTTCAACACCTGTCCTAGCAGCTTGACCAGTGGCATGATCTTTGGAGTAGATGGTGATGATCGCATCCCAGTTCTTGACAACTTTGGTCTTGTAACAAGCATCAGATTTATTAGCCTGTAAAATAGAGACAAAAGTATATATGAAATGCAATAGTTCAGATTATCATGTAATACAGTTCAGGTTATCATGCTGCATACCTCCACATATTTACTCCAAACATTGTCACTATCAATTGAGAGCCTGTGATTTTCCCAATCCCAGCCAAACCCACTTTGAGCAAGTATCTTGCTAATAACTTCATAATGTTTGTCAAAGGTTTTGCATCTTGAAGTGATGTTCTCCTTTGTGATATCCACATTGCACTTCTCTCGAACATTTCTGATTGCTGCACTGTACACATGTGGCTTCCATCCATTTTGGGCATGATCGCCATTGTTGTGATGCTCAACAAGAACTTCTAGGAGTGCACTATCCATTTCTTCTGTCCAAGTGAGGTAAGTCCTATGACCTTTGTTTGTTTTGGGTTCAGTCATGGTGCTAGAATGGTATATATCAGAAAGGTAGAAATTAGGCAATAATTTAACAGACATAAATAGTTGAGAACGATAAAGGTACTATTATATATTAATTTTGACACTTGAGAGGATGCACGCACAACAAAACACAGCAGCCATCCATCCCAAAAGCATATATCCCATCTGCCTATCACGCAAAAAACCCACAAAGCCCCATCTACCTACATACATAATACCCCATCTCACTACATACAAAATGCACACAGGGCAGCCATTAACCAAGCCTCGCTTGGTAATCGGCGAACATATCATTAGCTAGTTGGTCCCTAAAGTTGTTCCACTCAGTCGTAACCTGGACATTTCTAATTAAATTAGTATCATCTAGGATATCAACTGGTGCTGCAGCTATCTCATTATCCACTTCCTGCAGTAGCATATCATCCATCTCGCGCTGTCTATCTCTTGCAAAGTTGTGCAACACACAACAAGCAATGATAATGTGAATCTGTCCAAAAATGCAATGCGGTGTCAAAGGAAGCAAACAATGTTATAGTCAACTATAATAGGCCGTATGTACAGGACAGTACATGGTCCTTTATTTTAAAAAAAGATTGATTACGCAAGATACCCCATTTCTTTTTCCATAAACCAAAGGTTCTCTCTACCACATTTCTAGCCCGAGAATGTCTCAAGTTAAACAATTCTTTTTGGAGTTTTGGGCTGTTGTTGACTTGCAGCCCACTCTTTCAAGTGATAGCGAGTTGATAGATATGGAGCTAGAAATCCAGGACCATTAGTGTAACCAGCATCAACTAGGTAATACTTGCCTATCATGAAGGAAGAGAGTTAGCTAAAAATAAACCAGTAAATTATACACTAAACAAACAACCAAGCTGAAGGAGTCGTACCCTTGGGTACAACAAAAGCATCTTGGCGAGACAAGGCATCACGCAAAACCCTTGAATCATAAGATGAACCCTCCCATCTAGGTAGAACATACACAAATTTCATGTTCCGGTCACAAGCACCTAGCATGTTAGTTGTGATTTGTTGCTTCCTATTTCTGTACCTTCCTTGAGCAGCAACATCAACGCATACATCAACGTGGCACCCATCTAATGCTCCAAGTGCGTGCTCAAACCACTTCCACTTATAATCTTCAGGGGGTTGGACTGAAGGATCAGGAAGTTTGATGATCTCCCCAGATAATGAGAGAATGGCAGATAAGACAGCAGAAAATAGCCTACTAATTGTTTCAAGAGACCGCTTATATGTTCCACGAAGCACCCTCATTTTTGTACCATGACCAAGAACAAGCAATAACATAGCAACCTTTTCTTCAACATCAACAAACACACTACCACGAAGCCCACACCTTTCACGCAACATGTTGCACAAGTCATGGAAGTTCCTCTTAGTTAAGCGTAGCTCGTCATAGCGCGTAACTTCAGAACCCTCATATAAGTTTTTCAGCAAATACTTTGTAAATGTCTGCATGAGCTCCTCATCACTAAACGCACCAAGGTCCCTTGGCCTCCTCTCCTTATGGACATAATCTACCACCACAACTACCATTGCAAGATATAGCTCTGCAAGTAACAACCTTCGCTTCTTTCTACTTTTATTTTCTGCACTTATGCATGAGACCAAATCTAATGGTCGTTTCGACATGGACCAGCTACACAGAATTTTAAAAAGAACATACAATGGAATAAATCAGTGCTGACAATAAACAGGGGTAACTATTCTTGTATGCCACACAAACTATTGTTGTATTAAAAACAATCCAGAGCCTATTGACATTGTATAGCCAAAAAGAGAACACATTACCAAAAATT